AAGCACCAGCATTTTCAAAGGCAGCAGACAGTTCAAAAGTTCACTAATCACTCACCACACAACCAAGAATGTTTTATCAACTCAAAATCCACAAAGTTCAATCAAATAATTCGCACTGTCACTTTAGTCCGTATCTAAACACACACTAAACAATTCACAAAATCACTTGCACTGAGTCCCGCACTTTGTAATTTCACTGTTCACAGGAGGCGCTTGTCTTTTGCGCTCACTAGAACCCCGATGTTAACGGATTTTAACTACGCGACGCGCGAGCGACCGTTCCACGCGCGGGTCGCGGAACGACTGACTCCCCACTCAAAATGGCAGGGCTTTGGAGCCGGCGCTTGAGTGGGGGGTCCCCCCGGCGATACTCCGGGCATGCGCACTGAACACTTCCCATGCGCACAGAACACCCTGCATGCGCACAGAAGACCGCTCGAGGGGGGGTCGCCAGGCGATACTCCGTGCATACGCACGCGAACCGTCCGTGCGCACAGAACACCGCGGGCAGTCCCAACTTGACGAGATACGATAATTACGAAAATTCTTAACCTAATAAATAATTCTCTCTTAAAAAAAACAGTACAATCATGTAAAATCCAATAGTCAGTGAAAAATAATTGATTGAAGAGAATTTAGCGTGTGGATTTTGGTCTTGACCATCAAAAACACTTCGATTGGATCTCTGAAACGGGAATGGGAGTATCAGATACATTGAATTACGTTCTGTTTTCTAATCCCGTCAGCTCGAGTGCCGGTTCGTTTACGAAAACTGCTGCATCAGCTGTTATTTTTTAATAAAAAATAAGAGGAATCAATTTATTTATTGTTATTGCCTGATTTTTGGAGACTGGGTAATGCTTCTATAGTTTATTCTATTTTTGAAACTTTGAGGTCATGTAGATACCACACATCCCATAAACCAAGGCCATATTTTACATTTTTTCCTGTTATTTTAAATTCTCATTTTTTAAATAGTCCCACCAGTGCCGAACAGCTGCAAAGTGGGGATGACATGGCGATGAGGGGAAGGTGATTGTGACCGACGCGCTGTCTCGTGCCGCCTGAGAGAACTTGTCCCCGGTTTTTGGCTTGACAATACCTGCTTGTATCATACCTCAGCTGTCCGCCTCTCATTCAACAGAACGAACAGAACATCAGAATAACTAAACAAACTTAACCCCGAAAACGATCCTACCACATTTTGTAATTTACTACTAATTATAGAGCAGACCAGAAATTTATGAAAATCGTTGATTACGTGTATCGATTCGATTGATGAAATAAATTATTTTTGTTCAGCTGACATCGTTAAAGTGTACAATGGATCAGCAACATCATCAACAATTGAGCAATGCTCTGACAGCCGTACGCGTCCTCAGGTCAAGTGTTAGACAAGTATTTGATTCTGTGGCAAATGGTCTGAGGTCGGATCATGGGGATGAGAACAAGGATTCCAAGTATCTGAGTGAATTACAGGAGTTGTTATTCACAGCACATGCCAATTTGAGGTAAGATGTAATACTTATTCCAAATATTATTGTAATTGCAAAGAGGGAAAACTAACACGTCGATTTACCTGATGTGTAAGGAGATGGCGGAGTAATTATTTTTATGGGGATTTAGGGATGTTGAGCAGGCTGTAGGCACTTTGAATCCACCTCCAGGTCCATTCAGCCTTGGCAGTACAACGTACCTCAGTCAGGAGACGAGTCAAGAAAGACAAGCATTGTACAGTACTCTCGTAAACAGTTACAAATGGTGTGACAAAGCTCACGAGTACAGCAACATTGCTCAGGTCCTTCTCAGTCAAAATTCATTGAAAAGGTCGTACATCAATAGCGCCAGATCCAAACGGGGACGAATACAGACTAGTACTCATAATGTGTCAACTGCGTAAGTAAAAAATATACTCACAGCCTCAAATTAAATCTAATGTAATCTCCAGAGTATCTGGATATAAATGGGATCATTCATTGGATCATTTTATTTGAATCAGACAAGTCGATACGATGTTCAGCACCCTGGATCGTTTGTTTCCTGAGATGACAGTCACAATAACTCGACCTTACGCTTCCAATGCCATCCTCAACGTCTCCATAGGTCACATCTTGAAGGGAGCAATAGCCTTTAAGGGACTTATGGTTGAGTGGGTGGTTATTAAGGGCTATGGTGAAACCATGGACCTATGGACTGAGTCACGTCACAAAGTATTTAGGAAAATGACTGAAAATGCTCATGCGGCGATGCTACATTTTCACTCTCCAGCACTACCTGAACTCGCCGTCAGATCCTTCATGGTAAGAATTTCTAGGAATCTTGAAAAAATCATCCGCAGGGAAAACTTCTTAAAAAAAAATTTCCAATGTCCAAAACTCGAAATATTTAATTAAACCTTGCAGACGTGGTTCGCAAGTTTTGCGACAGTATTCAGTGATCCCTGCAAAAAATGTGGACTACATCTACATAGCGCCTTGCCACCGACCTGGCGAGATTTCCGCACGCTCGAGCCATTTCACCAGGAATGCAAGTCATGAGTGCATCTGAAGACCCATTCCGTCTGTACATAAATCAATTCACTGATAAAAAAAAACAAATTAAAATGAGCAGAAGAGAAATGAGGAAAAATATCTGACTCCACTTCCAGCTGAATGAATTTCTAAATAAACTATTGAATAATGAATTAATTCCAGCACAAACAATCGATTATTGTTAGTCATCTTTATTCATTGAATAACAAAATTGACGATAGTATAAAGTTGAAGGATTGGGAATTTGTTTTTTTATCATTTTAATATATTTTTTTTTCTTAAGGAAAATTATTTGCATACTTGCGTTAACAGATTTTCTTCTACTTCGATTAGTACTTATAGAAAGTTATCTCGGTACAATGTTGGATTATTTTTTTTTTCCTTCTCTCATATCTGTTCAATACAGCTCACGGAAGTTGGTCCACACAGAGCTTCCTGCGAATGAAATAAAGTAAAATAATTTATGAATCTCGTGTGTAATTTTTCCCCACCCATTTTTATCACTGAATTCACCTACACACTGATTCTCAAAGATAATTAATTATTCCTCGTTTACACAATTTTCTATCGCATTTGCACTGTACACAATTCGATTTGTCTTCTAAAAATTTGCGATATCTATTTAGCGTGTATTGTTTATCTCCTTTTGGTTTATTTAATCACAGAGCTTTATATGGATTGAAAATGTGTGAAATATAGTTTAGGTCTTCCCTCAACTTCATATTTATTTATATATATTTATCTAAAACATCCATTCGTTTATGCTATGTTCTGGAAATAATAATTGAAGGTATTAACGATTATTTACATTTATTCCACGGGTATAGGAGTATTGCGAAGTGGGTTGTAACTAGGCATTTCTTAAGGAATACATCAAAATTATAATCACTGGTTTTTCATATTTTTTTTAAACGAACAAATGATCAGAATTCGATTCACCAGTGAACTGATAAAATCGCGAATTTTTCCATTAAATCGTTGAACGATTGCATAATGACTCAATCATCGAAATTCAACTGCAAACTCAAAGCGTGCGCGAACATTTTCATTCGGTATATAATAGCTCTGTAATCGATTAAATTTTTTCTGTTAGTCCTACCATATTTCCATCATGAGTATCATTGTTTTATTTATTTATCATTTTTCTTCCAATGCTCTAAGTGAGTTTTACATAGTACTCGTTATTTTAATATCATTCATGTAAATATAACTAGGTAATTATATTTAACGTAACTGTACACATTCACATTTGGAATATCTTTGGCGCTTGGTAAGTATCATTTTTTTTTCCCCGCATTATTTTTCATGCAGCGCAAGTCATTTGAATGGCAGTGAACTTATATTTTACATTTTCCTAGCGTTCGCACTCTTGGTTTCATGAGCCATCGATCGCCTCATTCTTTATTGTGATCACTTGCGTTCGTGAAATGATTCAGATTTTTCAGTATTTCCAAGTTCTCGTGAGGTTCTATTTACCTGTGTCAATGATTTTTGTTATATAGACATCATTGACTTGAAAACTATTAACTGATTATCAATTAAGGATGTTTAACCGGAAACGGAAGTATTTTTTTTATCAGATACATAAAAATTTCAATCCACCACGTGCATTATTTGAAAAGTCAAGCGAATTGAATTTTATATCATTTTTCCATACAGCACAGCTTTTTCCTTAGTCTTGTAATTATTAAATAATTCAATTGAACACCGAGAATATCGAGACTATTTTTTTTTCAATAATAAACTTTTACCTGGAAGTGAAAATATGAAATTTCAAAATGGCTAAACATCCTTAAGATTAAAATTAACGTCTCGAAAAAAAAAAATAATCACTAGCTATTTTCTTGAATGACTGATTCAAAATATAAGATTCTCAGCTAGAGTCATTGTCACTTTATTTTTTTCTCGGTTATTTATTTCTCTCGTTTTTCTTCTGGATTTATGAAAATTATGTCATATCTCGATAAATAAGTTATCAACGGCGAGAAATTTCATTTTTTTATTCATTACATATCGTTGCAGACCCCCAATGCTATTCCCGATTTTCTTTTTGGGGATTCGTATGTAGACTGCATGTCCCTTGGTCGACTCCGGATTTTTTAGAAAATGGGTTCAACTTCACCGGCACGATTATCGAATAAATTCATATATCCATTCTCTTCCGTTAGAATTTGGTCATTCGATCGAGTATCGGCACCGATTACAGCCGACTTGATGATCATTTCATGATCACTCCATGATCTTAATGATACTTAAGTGTATTGAAAATGGAATAGTACACAAATTGATTTTAATAACTCGATAGGCCCCCGAAAGAAACTTCCCCTTTTCCATGACTTGTATTCAAATTATATTTCATTGTATCGTTCATTGTATATTCCCTAATGAGAATGAATCATCCATGAATTTCACGCAGATGACGATGAAAATTCACATTGTTTACCATAAAAACCGAGAATTTTTATAAAATCACCATCAGAATGATAATTGCCCAATTGTCTTTTGAGTCGAAAAGTAACAGCAACTTTTCACACGTACGCATCGAGTTTTAATAATTATCTATTAATAATTATCTCTCATTTTGTTTCAACGGATATGCTATAATTACTTGATTCATTTTTTAATTTATTGTACCGCCATATTTGTCGTAAAAACCCAATCGCACTTGGTTTCATTTTTTATTAAATTAATCTTGCCCCGCAGTGACGGATTGAAATTAATTCGCGCAGCGAAGAAATGGAACTTGAAGTTTATTTTCAATTTTTTTTAACTATTGAATTATTTCTAAACCGATTAGTTCAATGGACAATATGTGGAAATATATTTGACATTTTCTCCTAGATCCAGTCGGCTCCGAAATTAATTCATTGCTAACGAAATTTGAAAATTAACAAGCTTTTCATTTTTTATTGTTTCGCTGTCATTTTCAAGACTTTCCTTTCCTCTTTTGGGACTGAACGAGCTTGTATGTTAAGTTATTTCCTTTCTACCCCTAAATGCCTATCCTAGGTCGATAATAATAAATTTCTTTACTCCTCGGAGACAACTGGGATACACCAGAAATGCAGAAGAAAACCTTTTTACTCATCTTTAATCGGGTCAAGTGTTTTATTGCCTGTCTCATTGATTTTATCTCTCCCACTCCTCAACTCTGGAAAAACTCGGTAATGCCAAATAAATTTTCCCATCGTTTTTCCAGTGAATACTTCATTCCATTCCCTTAATTATTACGTATCAATAACTGTGAAAGTCATGTCACTCAATCGTGTTCTCTCATGTTTGCAAGAAGATTCGTAAGCTTAGACAGACACCAGTTTTTCGGAAATTTTTCTTTATCTAGTCAGTTGAAGGTTGAAGATTTAGTACAATCTGGTGAGTAATAAAGTTTAGAGATGATTGAATTTTACTGAAGCAGTGGGGAATTATAGAAGTCAAATATCAATTCAGATAATTTTCCCCATCACTTTTCATGGAAGAATCCATTAAAAAAAATGAAAAAATGGATATCACCTTGGGACTCCATAATATTTAAACAACCGAGCCAATGTAAATGTATAAATTAATACCTTTCAATCGAATGGAGATAATTTTTATAAAATGCTTGTCCTACAAAGAGTGAAAAAGGGACTCTAAAATTCCCCTCCGCCGGAAAATCCCCTAGAATTTTTTCTCAACTCGATTTTTCCTTCAACTTATCTCGTCACGTACATAAATACAAGAAAGTGCACCGAGAAAAAACCTTCATTTTAATCTGATTACAAACTGTACTATATTACCCTTTGATTATTGATATGAAATTGCGAATAAATTACCATTATCATCTTTAGTCTTTATCATTTTAGAATTGTGATAAACTTGAACAATAGAATTTCAACCATTTTTCCCACCTCCATCAAATTACGAACGAATAATACTGATAAAATTGAATCTGTCAATTTTATTTAACAATGAACACAAACAATTAATCACATGATAACGAAAAAGTCATTCAACGATCAACTTACCCCCAATCAATGATTTCCCGGCAATTGTTGCCACATTAATGAGTAATATAGTACATTTATACATCTCTGTTATGCATACCATATGATAAGAGTATACAATTATTTACATTAAATTATGTACATATAATGGAAGGTGACCAGTTAGTTGAGTATTAAAAAAGCGTTTTTTTTTTCTCGATCGATCTGGCACGAAATTCTCCACTGACAGTGCAATTCCTCAATTTCCCTAATTAAATTCTGAGCAATAAATTTATATCCCTCAATAGTTTATTTTTAAACGACTGGAAACCTTCCGTTACACCCACAAAATATCACTTTAATAATGTCCCAGTCTTCCGACGACTTGAATAATGGGATAATTACCGAAAATAAATGATAATTTCCTAATTATCTCGCACATCCCTCGGCTCATTCAAACGTCATTTTAAAATTCCACTAGTTCAATAATTCAATAGTGTCTCATTACCTCGAACGTTGTTGATTTATTTTTAAATAATTAGTGCAAAGCTGTTTTGTTGATTAACGGTATCCTCATGAACATCATCCCCCCGATTGATTAATTTTACGGAATTAAAACTGTTGAACACTTTTTTTTTTCTGGGAAAAGTGAAGCACGATTTGTTTTATCTAGGATTATTAACTAGTTACGTTGAATGTTCATTTGAGTAGTTATTTGACGATGTTCGTGTGTATTATCAGGGGCTGATAGGGTGTCTCACTTGAATTTCCGGAAGGCCGACATTCCATGAGATAGGGGCATTAGCAGTACGACGCAAACTCTTACGAAGAAATGTGGCGCACGCTTTGCTACGCTCTGTTATTATTTCGTACAGGTGATTCTCCATTGTCAGACTGTTGGTGGTGAGTAGCAGTGGTATACTCATTATCATAAAGTTGCCAATATTAAGAGGAGTTTCCCATTGTCAGACACCGCTGTTCGGAAAGCGTGGCGGGGGAAGCGGGGGCGGTGCTCTTTCCGGTTGAGCGGGAGCGATGGAAGAGCGTTCTGATCCAGCTGCAAAAACAACTGTTCACCCATTCATTAATTTTTTTTTTATATCAACCATCACCGATTGATATCATACTAATTCAATCCGTCGTACATTCCACCCAGGGGCTACTCACACTCCAAGTCATTGCGACACTCTATCAGTAATTTCAATTCATTTCAATTCATTTTAATTCATTTCAATTCATTTTAATTCATTTCAATTCATTTTAATTCATTTCAATTCATTTTAATTAATTTCAATTCATTTCAATTCATTTTAATTAATTTCAATTCATTTCAAGTCATTTCCATGTTACGATTCGAAATCAATTGAAATCGAAGGGAATAAAAATCTTACGGTTCTTAAATAAATAGCTCATTGCATCTGAAGTGAGTAGCTCCTTGATTCAAATCGAAATATATGGGCCATGTATTTCGGATTTTTGCCATTTTTTTTTTGCTTATGGATTTTTTTTCATTTCATTTTTGCGTGACTCTCAACATTTAGTCCTGAGTTGACAAAGTGGAAGAAGTACACGGAGAGAAACGTGAGATAAAAGGAAACTCGGAATTATGTGCTATCAATTTTTATGAGAAATATGATATAAGCCAATTCTGTGCGGAGAGAATCTCTCCGAGAAAAATCTCTCCGTGTATTTTTCTTATTTGACGTGTGAAAAAATTTCGCTACTTGGGTTTCCTTTAAAATATTTCTATGAGGACTATTCGCGATTGATTCCCGAATTTCCATATTTTCTACAAGACTCGAAAAGAATTTGGTAAATGGAACGCCAAATTTTTCACCGAAATGCTTCCATACGCCAAAAAATCCAATCCATCTCTTCCCCATCACGAAATGGAGAATTTCAACTAAAATATTGCATAATTCCGGTGGTTATAAGGAAGGCATTTGCGTTTATATAATGTAACTGTCGACAATTCGGGGTAATTCATGCAGAACATGCAAGACAATTATTCATTAACATTCTCGCTAATAACGCTATATATAAAACACCCAGGTGGCTTAACTTAACACATTTAACTCCAAAGCTCATCCACTATTTAAACAAGAAATACTATTTGACCTCTACCATGTTATTTCTCCCAAAAGTTACACGTGAGTCATTAGAAAAAGACCAATACATTTTCTCCGTCTCTTATGCTCTGTTGATATATAATTAATTACAAAAATATTGGAAAGAGTAATTACACGTGGAAAAATCCAATTGCCTTTTGAGCTCTTGACGTATCATTGTTATTTCGTTTACTACAGAGGCCAGTGTATCATAATCGTGTGAAAATATCAAGTGACGCGTTCAAATGAAGGATGTGTTGCTGTGGGTGTTTCAGTGGATGATTAAATTATCAAAATTTCTAATGATTATCTACGAGTTTAAATAATACAAAATAATCACAACAGCGATTATGAGACTATGGGTGATGGAAATTATGAGACTTGAAAGACATTCACTGGAAATAATGTCTGTCAATTCTGGAATACTGTTTTCTTCATTCTGAAAAACTTTTATTCTTCATTCAAGAAAACTTTTGCTTCATTGAAGAAAACTGTTTTCTGGAATTGAGAAAGTTTTTCTCTAGTTTTTTCTCCTGCCTTGGTTGCAAATAACGCCGGAATTACGAGATTTAAAGCCATTCAGAAGATTTTTTTTGTAGTCAAGCTACAAAAGAGACCCAATACGCTCGGCCAATCCCATCGGTCCTCAGATTATTCACAAGGAAATATTTTTAAAATCTACAATTTTTTTGATCAACATGAGTAATTAACTAATGAGTAAAGAATACCATAAATCATCGGATATTGAGATATTCAGAGACACTTCCAATATTCCGTCAACGATGAATGAAAAATATAATTTTTGAGCCGAGAATATGAATGAACAGGGTCTGAGATTTTCCAGATATTCGCAAGACACCGCGATAATATTCTCGAATCAATAATTCTCACAATGAAGATGATTAATAATAAACTAGTGAATCAAAAATACGATAAATCATCAAATATGCAAGGAAAAAAAATATCCCCTGAATGATGGATGAGACCAGCAGACCCTCGACGAGTCTCCAGTGCCCACACATAATTCAGAAGTTGACATTAATATTCAAATCATTAATTGATTCGTGTTGCAAAATTCATGAGTAACAAGCAAATTCATAAACGAAATTCCACTGAAATAAACTCGAATTACGTTTAGCTAAAATCGAGATTCGATCTCGAGGAAATAAAAGATAACGAATGAAGAACATGATTGATTGATAATAATGATGGTAAAATAAAAATGGCTCACAGTGAGACTACAAATCAACGAATTCACGTACATACAGAGATAATAAATAAAGGGTGTCATGCAAAAGTGTTGGGGGTTGGGGCTGTGGGGTGGGAGCTGAGTAAGGATTCTCAACACGCAGCAAACGATTCCTCCAGGCTTCAAGAAACCAGACCCAGCAGACTCCGGGCAATTCTTCTTTTCCTCTTTTCATGGGATTTTTCCGACAGAGCAAAGGGGATTTCGGTGGATTCTCCCGGTGCGCGTGAGGAGATTTTCATCCACCTATTTTTCCTCTCATTTAAGGGGACAATAAGAGGACAATTGGAAATTGCAGTGCGAAGTGATTTTCGTCCATTGAACGAACGGAGACAATCGGAAATTGAGATTTTTTCAAATTCAATGGAAGATAGCAAAAAATAATTCCCAGTTTTTTCGTGATTTTTCGTCAGTGGTTCATCTACCAGGATTTGCAATTTTAGTGCGATTAGTTCGGCGGAACGATTTTTGTGTGATGGAAAAAGCGTGGAGTGCCACTTTGCTGATAACTCAATTAATCCTTTCAATTTTAACGATTAATCGAGTGACGTTCCGTACCGGTGCGTTCATATTCCATCGATTTAGATGTTAAATGGTATTGGTAGTGGTTAACTCGTTCAAAGGCGTGCCAGCTACCGTGTAAGTGTGCTTTGGTATTTTTAGGCATTTGTTTTTTAAATTGAGTTGATGGTAAACAAAAAGGTAAAGTGTCTTTCTGATTGTTGGACCTTACCGAACTGCGGTGGAATTAAATCAGAGGATCCTAAGTGTCCCCTGGGCGGTCATCTAAAATTTATCACCCAAACTTTGGCATAATTATGGCTTCAAACAAAAACTGGTGCAGCGAAGTGGTAAAACAAGATTATTATTGCCCTCACAACAAATAGCTGAAAATTTACAATATCAATATCAACATTCCTATCATTACTTCCGAGATATCTCCGAAGCTGACAGAGATACAAAAATTCTTTCGGGACCTTTTTTATAGCTCTCATCTGACTCGATAAAAAAGGTAAGAACAAAAATTTCAGTATCTCGTGCGGATCTCGAGATTTTCGTTGAAAACCAGCTAATGGCAAAAATCGAGTTGAACTGATTGGTAGCAGTTCGTATTTACCACTCCACTACATCATCACTCGTTTAATTAAACAATGAAATAAATCGATAAATGTCGTACCGATTGTTAACAATCCTATAAATAACAAGAGTCCCTCTAATATATTCGATGGCACACAGAGACATTGGAATAGGGATCAATAGATATCATGGAACAATTATTGTTGGCTACAGCCATGTCTGAGGAATTGTTTGCCCTGTTGATGGAAGTTTTGATAGTGACAGGTGATGATACGGGTGTTGTCGGTCAGGTTGACAGGCCTTACATGAATCAGGATGGGGCTTCTCCTCTGCCACCATGAGGGCTGCACTCTCTGCCGGTGGTATGTGTCCCTCTAATGCATTCGTACAGTTTAGCATGGTCCTGCAAAACACGCCACTTGTTTCCAACATTTTTTCCTCTCCACCTTTATATTTTCCTCTTTATTTTTTTCCTTTTCATCATCTCACACCGTTCCCCAACTTATTCACACTTAATTCTCTCTTTTTCAACTTTATTTCGAGGATGACATGCAATTTTTTCGTTATCAACTTTCCGAGTCACTGAATTACCAATACAAAAATCTCAGCTGCATGAACAGCTTTCAATTCAATCGTCGCTTGACGACTTCCAAAAAAAAATCGTCGAGCAACTTTTTTTTTTTCCAATTACACGTTTAATTGTGGAAATTATTGGGGCACGTGAGGTTTTTTTTTCTTTCGCGGAATTATAATGAGGAGGGAAGGTAGACGCGAATGTTGTGGATGTGATATCATTGAATAGAAAATTTTTTTCTTTGAATTGGAATTTTTTGGGATAATTTGAGCGATTTTTTGGCATTTTTTTATAATTCTGTTGAAATATTCAATAGAAAATTTTTTAGGTGCGCTGTTCGCTGAAATTTTTATTTTTATTTAGGAAAATAAAACTCTATGGACTGTTTCGTGAGAATATTTTTTGCTGAATATTCATCAAAAACTCATTGAAAGTTCAATATAAATCTGATAAAATCGTTAAGCAAATTCCATCGGTTTTTGAATTGACGAAATGTTTTCCCCTGTGAACTTAAACTTTTCAGTTCCGGTACCCATCGCTGTGATCTAAAAAACCGTTAACTTCAACAGGAAAGCATCGGAAAACTTTTTTAACTGGAGATTTAATCATCTCCCAAAAAATCGTTTAATAAACCAATAATAAAAAACATTTCATTACCTAAAGCATTGAATATAGAATTTCATTGGAAGTGAGTAAAAATGCCGAGATTTTTTGTTTGTGCACGAATTTTATACTAAAGCTTTTGCATTTGTTTATGTCAAAATGAATAAATTTTCCATTCGAGGGAAGAATTTAGTGCAATTAATTCTCTGAAAATAGAAGCGATTGGCAGTGAATAAAGGATTAAAATTGTATTCCGATCGGGTCATGAACAATTTTTATCCAGCCATTATACCTCTGCGCAGAATGAATAATAATCGACTTCATGTGCCCCAATAATGAACGAACTGAAACATGTAAGAGTACAAAAAGAGCTCTTCCGCCTATCGTCACGAAATAAAATGCATTTCACAGTTTCTACCCCTCAACTCAACACAACCAAATCCTTCCGACTATTTTTCCTCATTTCAGGAACTAATCACTGGCCTGTGTAGTAGAAGAACGAGAAAAAAAAATACTAATTAAATAATTGAGGATAAAATATCTATCAATTATATTTCACACTCATAAATAATCCAACGAATAATCTCAATCAACTTTAGACCTCAGAATTAACGATTTCTGCATCTGTACAACCACCAATTTACAAAACCACTTGATTATTATCTCATCTATTTACAGACAAATGAAAAAATAAGTGAACAATGAGACATGAGGGATGACATATCCACAACATCAGTGGAAAGTGTAAAAATAGGGGAAAAAAATGGAGTGATTTATTCTGCAGCGATAAAATCTCACGATCGAAGTGATTTTTTTCTTATTTTCTTTTTTGTTTAAAAAATGTTATGCAATGGTGATGCCGAAATATTCGTAACACATGATGAGATGAGATGAGATGATTTACATTAATTGATACTTTAGCAATTTGACAATAAAATGACTATCAACAAAGTGTAACATTGTTATCGTCGCGGATAATCTAATTTGGTAATCAATTTTTAATGTTTATTTATCATTATGATCTATTGGTAGCGTTAGTATGGGTGGCAGTGGTGGCATCTGATAGGACGGTCTCCTTGCTAGAGTTAGTCGTGAGCTCTTCTTCCCTGTAATACAATAACGTATGACTTGGACACAAAAATTCGTCAACATTTAATACTGAAATCAATTTGTTCACGAATTTAAGTGTCCGATTGTACGTCACGCCATTTTCTCTCTTTCCTCAATCAAAATTGTCTTGCCCTTTTTCAAATCATTTCACTTGGTCCATTGAAAAAAAAATCAAACTCATTCTTCCGACCTCTCTTTCTTCAGATTAATCATTTGTGGTTATTCATTAGTTAATCAAGCTTTAAAAAATCACTGAATGTTTCGGCAAAACCCTAAAACTCAACTACGAAGCATTGAAAGAATAATTCATTAATAATGAGCGTTGAGAGTGGAGTGGGGGTATTGGAGAATTATTTATTTAATATGAGGAGAGATATTTCTGAGAAGATTTTATATTGATATTTTAAAAAATGGTACTTTATCGTAAAATTATGCAATTTTTACTAAATGTCGCGTTTTTCAACAGCTGTCAGTTGACTTAAAAAAAATAATTCGTTTTACGTTGCATTAAAATTCCCTAAACAAAGGATTATTATTATTATCATTATTCCCCGGTGAATTGGCTGCACGATAGAATGTTAAGCTGAATTATTCCATAAATATTTCTCGTTCCAGTATCTCGATATCTGACAGATTAAATTGACTTCACAAGTGGTTTATTAAACCGGAAATTTCCGAGACGATCCAATAAACCCACTCAACTTCTAGTACAATACGTAATACATAATACACAGTACACAAAGCCCAATAGATCCTCGATAATTTGGGCGTTGAAATAGTTTGAAAAAAACGAGGAGAAATGTTGAAAAAAAAAAAAAATTGAAAAACTGAAGTTGCACCCGATCCACTTTCGCCACTGCATCGATTTCTCGAGGGCCAGATATACCCATCGTATACAAACGATATTAAACGATATTAAACGATATTAAACGATATTGGTAAATAAACTGAGGAGAGTATATGCATTTATGTACTTGATCGTGAAATCGGATTTTCCAAACTATTGCAAAATACAACCAGAAGTCAATATGCAGTGGCGAGCAAAAATAGATGGGCTGCGGTAATTAAAGCACATTTTCATACACCACCCACCCACCCCACCTGCTAACCAGTCTCCCCCAATCTAGTGAGGCGAGCACTTTACTATTTTAATGAAAAATCTATTATAACGAACCTCCGTTAATACGATAAAAACGTGGAATACTTTTTAAAAAGCAAACTCACATGCGATCTCACAAGTCACAGCGTCATTAAAATTCTTTCGTTATTTATCATTCGTGCCAGCTATTTTATTTCGTATTATTTAATATTCTAACCATAGATAAAGATTTTAAAATTCAGAAAAGTGTTCCCTATTATTGATTAAGTAATTTGCCGACCAATCGTTGGATTCGTGATACTTGCATTAATTAATCAATCGATTCGGGACTCACTAATTAGATTGATGAATAAAAGGTGCATGCAGATTGTTTTTTTTTTAGTGATTGTATGGTAATTTTGTTGCAAGACTCCGAAATTCGGAAAATGTCCGGACTTTCGTGTAATTAAAATAATCGATTTCGTCGGGTCTCGGTTTTACCTCGTAATTTTGGGTTTAATTACATGATAGCCTCGGCTCTCAGCAGAAACTGTGAAATGTATCTTCACGTTGAATAAAAGATTTCTTGATTATTTATTGAAGTTGTTCATGCAGCTATGGTAATTGATGTAATTATTCCCGGTAATTGGCCTCTCCTCGGAAATTTTTTATTTTTTTTTTGGTAACTAGTGAGAGAGAAATTAGCATATTTAACATGCTGTATCGTTGGGAACTTACGTTGCGTCATTTGATTCCCTTTTTTGCTGATTTTTCGGAATCTCTTTGGTCTAGGACACGGGATGGTGCAGTGAAGTGGTGAAATTTCCGAGAAATGGTGTACCATTTCCAAATCCATTACTCTGTTTGAAAATTTTTCACTACTTTCCCCCGAAAAGAATTCTAATTATATTTCCCGGGGTAAAGTCTATGGAATTTTAAATTTTTTAAATGAATATTCAAATCGAAAGTCTAATTCTCAAATTTTCTCAAACTTTTGAAAGAATTCCACAAGTTTTTACCATTTTTTAATAAATTTTCACAGGAAAAAAAGGACTTCACCACTTCACTCCAGAGTTAATTCTCAATTTCAGTATAATAAACAGACACATTTGGTTACCCCATGCATGGAATATAAACCAAGAAATAAAGATAATCGAGTAATCAAAAAGCAACAATCGCAGATAACGAAACATAAATCCATCATGTTTCAGTTATTTCAATTGAAAAAAATAGTCAGGTCTCTGATATTATTTTCTCTCTAGTTTCATCTATTTTTCACAATTTAGGTGGACTCACCCATAAAGTCTGCTGTCCCGCAAGCTGCTCCTGCTCCAAATAACACAGACAGAAAGCACAGTTACGACGACAGTAGTACAACCGTATACCATGTATATAAAAAATTCAATATTAAATTCCTCTCGGTACCGTGAAATGAATAAATCTAAGAAATCCAAAGAAAATAAATGGAACGAAACGAACTCATAAATCCCAAGAATCATTTATTCTGTAAACAATTTTATGTACAATATGCCAAAATAATATATCAATGTTGTAACGTAAACAAAATAAAATATCGAGATAGAAATGAACGAAGCAAATTACTACAGCTGAGAGTTTCATTAGAGAGATAGAGAAAGTTTACGTAATTAACATTTTTTTTTTCATTCCTAATTGAAAAATTCAACAATCAACAACTTAAGGATTAAATATGAAATAAATTCATTGTGCGGTGTCTTCCATACGTTTTTTCTGAGTGAGAATAATTCTTTTCTAATCGTAAAGTTTATTTTATTCTAGTTGATTTAACTGATATATCGAATTCCTGTGGTTTGGTGGAGAGAAGATTTCATTGGAATTCATTTCTCTGAGTTTTAAATATTTTTAAAGTCTCTTCCAAATTTCATTTAATTTCAATTCAAATTCGTTGTCATTCTCTTTGTATTTTTTCTTTCACAAAAAAAATTGTTTTTTTAATGCACGCGAGTCAATCCCATACCCCTGCACAGGTATAATTGGATCACTTAAAAATTACTTGACGTTTAAAAAATCATAAAAAATTAATTTGTGAATGTGAAAGGCGAATAATTTCCAGAGTCAACGCGAATCCTAAATAAATACCCTTATCATCTTGTTTCCACCTCACCAAAGTCATTAAAATCCACATATCATTCAAAGATAGTGAGAGGACAGGGCCGGGGGGAGGTAGGGGGTAGAGTTAAACAATTATTTATCACAGAGTACAGAATAACGAGTATACGAATGCAATACTATAGTAGAACGGTCCCAACACGAAATTTCCCTGGAAAATAGCAATTGTAGAAATCGTCATTGCATGCAGATAACGTAATAACGCTTCGTCATCGTCCAATGGAATTCTCTCCACGAGAATCAATGGAATTGTCAGTGAATTCTCCGTGACTGAATGCAACCGTGTGACATTTCAAGTTTTCAGCCGCAGAGTGACGCCAGCTGAATATTAATGACGAAAACTCTCGACAGAAGGTGAATTTTTCATTTGATATTCGAATTTATTTGAATTGGTTTTTTTTTTTTTCTTTTTCCCACTTTGTGTTGGGTTTTGTCGGGACTTTTACTGGGAGGTGTGGGGAAGGGTGGCTTTGTAGGTCTCGGGGTTTCTCTCCATGCGCATTTTTCCATCATACCTGTCATGGCCGTGCCTGAACAGCCCCAGGATCTCCTCAAATGTCTTGTTCTTGGTTTCTGGCACTTTCTTGTAGGTGAATATCCAGAAAACAGCGAGGAATCCACTGAACGGCAGGAATGTGTAATTGTCGAGAACAGCCTGCAACAAATGACAAGATTTTTCATGTTTTCATTATTTTCGGGAATTTTCGCTTCAAGGATGTCTTCTTCGCTCAATTCTCCGTGGGTTGGGAATTTTTTAAAGGAATTTTTTCTACACGTGAGATCGCAAATTGTGAACATAAAAATATTAAAAATGAATGTCCACCGTTAATCGCCCGAGTAATCAGAATTAATTCAAAAAAATTACTATTACGACAATCATTTTGAATTCCCCATGTTCTCGATTGAGCCGTGAAATTTTTTTAGGGACAAATATTCCGTAAACTGACGTATCTCTCCCACAATCACAGAGCAAAATCTGGTTGAGTAAAATTATACGGAAGTGTACCACATTTTTTACCGAGGTTTTTATAATTTTTATCTGAATTCCCGGTGATAAATTACGACACTATCATTTAAATTTCCTAAGCTGCCCCGTAATGGGGTGATTTGTGAGGTACATAATTTACCCAGAGTATTCATTTCCGTCAGGGTTACCAAATCGCGATTTTCTTCCAAAAATCGTTTTGATTTTCTAAGAATAAACTAGATCATAGTGAAATTTCAAATTTCAATAGGAATATCTGTTAAAAATCGCAGAGACATTATAAAAAAAAAAATAAAGTCACGATCTGGCAACTGTAATTTCCGTGTGGCGTGAACTTACCATCATGCTTGGAAAAGCAATGCCAACAACGAAATTAGCCATCCAATTGATAAGTACAGCGATTGACATAGCGGCTGGTCTAGGTCCTTGTGAGAACAATTCAGCTGTTATCATCCATGGTATTGAGCCAGGTCCCACAGCGAAGAATACGACAAAGCTGAGTGTCGAGACAACCGACAGATACGACATCCAGCCAATCATTTCCTGTACGTAATTGAAAAACTCCTATCAGGGGGTAGTACCAATTGTTCATCTTTCCTGAGCAACTGGAGGAGCCTCAGGAGAATTTAAAGTAAAATTCAGTAAACAAAGAAAACCAAATAATCATCAAGCCATGCAATTGTGCTCAGACCTGCTCACTGTTCTCTCGAGCCTTTAATTATCGTCATTATTATTTGTGATTTATCATGAAGTAATAGAATGTAACGAAGCAAGTAGATCATTAAAAATCTCATTACAATGAAATTAATTCACCGAGTGATCATAACATTGCTGAGAATACTGATTAAAACATGATATATTGGTGATTTTCTCGTTTATTACCACTCAATATCGAAATATCCTCGCATTCAACTGAAATATCGTACTCTCCTCTTCATATTCCACCACTTCACTGCATAATAATGTGCACTGTGACGTAATTACCCCTAAATCTCCCTAATCCTCACCCAAAATGTGATATTAACCCACAGTTCAAGCACAGAATGACGAAAGCGTAAAACAGCGATTAAAATCACGAAAAAATTTCATTAGTTCTCATTGATAAATGTGATAAATAGTGCCAGGATTATAATGAACACTTAGACATCGGTCACCAATGAGGAGAAGTTGAATGTTTACTCACTCATCATCGCTGTCCGCCATTTGAAATTAATAGCACCCGAATGCCTTAATAAATCGACTTGAAGAAAAAAATCTCGATCACTCGTATTGAATTTATAATGAAAGTATTGGATACCCAAGGGAATTTATGGTGAGCCTCAAAAAGCCATTGGTATGTAAGAATGAATAGCAATATACCATTAAGTAACAGGTTTGAGCTTACGAGAATAACGATGATTGCAGAAATTGAATTGATAAATAAAATATGAGTGATAAATCAATACAAAGGCATCCCTCCTCCAAGCTGTCACGAAAGAGGTCGAAATGATGAGGGGATGGGACGGGGGACGAGGGGTTGCAACGTAAAGAGAAAAAAAATGTAAAGTATTGAAAATGAGAGGAATGAGAGGAATGAGTGAAGTCAGTGAAATCGTAACATAAAAAGGAATTGTGTGAGTGCATGTGGTTTTTTGTTATCGGTGGGATCATTATGCACATAACGATGATGTACTGTCGTTCAGAATGAGTACAATGAGTGTGGTTTAATGGATTCAGGCTCGATAAAATCAGGGGAGATCAATGTACATGGGAAAAAGTGAATTTATGATGGGAAAAAAATTGGGGAGGTACAGGAGGGAAATTAATATTCAGGAGAGAGCACAAAACTTTTAGTGCGATTTGGAGAAGGGAGAGGAGGGTGGAGATGGGGGGGGGGTGAATTTTGGTGGAGAATTGAAATGAGAGTGGGAGTCATGTTTGGGTCTCAATTCGTCGAATTTTTATGTGTTTTTATTATTATTATACTCTTTGAATCATCTGAAAATCGAAATATTGATCATTTGATCATTGAATTTTTGATAAATTTTTTATTTGACTAGTGTTATTTCGACCAATTGTAGTAGATCCTAGACATGTAATTGTGGAGGTGTATTTTGTGAACTGCATAATGAAATAAAATTGATAAAATTATTTAAGAAGCAGCGCATGCATGGATGATCGTGGGATTATTGATTCTTACATACTAAATGAACAAGTACGATTGTTGTTGATGTTGAAATATTTAGCAAGTGATATTATTCTCACAGTCGTGTGCAGTGCCTCACTCCAGCTGGGAACAAAGCTTTTAAAAAGTACCCTTAGCACTCGTGTGTGCCCGTGACAAAAGCCACAAAAATCGGTATTTACAGCTGTTTGTGTGCCTCGTTATATGACTAAAGCCGCTTTGACTCTTTTGTGAGTTTTCAAGTCGTGAATTATCGGTTAAAATTGGACATTGTCGTAGTTCATCATTAATGGCAACGGTTTTTCTTATTTTCTAGGGTATTTTTAGAATTATTTTTCTCGTTTGGGGGGGGGTGAATTTAACGGTTGGGATGACGCGATGACTTACCTTGATGAGGAATGAAATTGTAATGAATATGGAAAATATAAACATTCCACCGAGACCGTACAGGTGGAGGGTTCTTCTTCCTGTTCTGTCCATTAACGGTATTGATACTAGGGTCATTATCACCATTATCGCACCGATACCGATTGAGGCCAATTTTGCCCTCTCCTCAGTCAATCCAGCATTCAGGAATAACTGGGTGGAGTAATAAAACACCTGTCAACAGAAAATTCAGGTCTAACAAATATTTTCAATACTATTTCGCTATTTTTGAGAACTACAGAGCATTTTTATTCGCCTTCAAATATCAATTATCTTCAAACAAATACCGAAATTTTTCTCGAAACTCAATGCAAAAAATTTTCGGATTGATTTAATGTGATGAAATGGATGATCTTGATGATTAAAAATGTGAGAACAGGGTGTGGCCTGTATTAAAAGGAATGCAATAGAAAAAATTACGTGAATTGAGTGCCATCATCTGTTGAATAACTCTCCCGAGAAGCCATAAAACCGAATAATTGCTCAATAGTTTCCAGATGCACTGAGATACCCTGACAATAGTCGATGACAATTATAACTTACAGCATTGATACCAGAAAGTTGCTGAGAGAGTTGCATGACCACACCAATAACAAGAGGTGCCCTGAGCGTTGGACTGCATATAAGCTCACTCATTTTAATTGTCGACTCAGCCTGTTGAGCCCTTTCCTCCGCCCTCATTTCATCTATGTCCTCCTCAACTTGGTTACTACCCCTTAACCTTCTCAAAGCCCTACGTGCCTCCTCCTCCCACTGCTTTGTAATGAGCAAATATCTGTACAAGTGATAATGATAAACATGTCGTCAGGCATAAATTGAACATTGTTGAAACTTTGAGATGAAGAGACTAAACTTCGTCAAGTTCCTAAACAATTCGGTAACCGAAATATGGGGCGGAGGAGAATTCTACCGAGTTTAGAGATATTGTGCTGGCAAGTGGAATAAGGAGATAAGCAGAAATCTTGGGGAACGTTGAAACTTTAACACAAATAAGTTATCGAGTTATTCAACTCGCCAGGGAGAAATAAATTCGAAGAATCATCCGGCACTTGGTCGTCATTTCCGTATTTATCGATAAAGATCGCGGAAGGGGTGGGAGTGGGAGGGTATTTTTCGGGATGGGAAATTCTCCTCCGTTGACTTGACAGAAATTTCTCAAGGTGTCGTAAACGGCCTGATAACTTTACCTCGGGGATTCTGGACAAATTGGTAGTAACACAAGTTGGGCAATAGCAGGAACAACAGCAAGACCCAGTAATATCGGCCAACGGTCATTTGTACCGAGTATCTTCTCAATTCCCAACACCTGGGAGATTAGAAGGCCCACCGTAACAGCGAGCTGGTTTACCGTGCCCAGGCCGCCTCTCAAATTCAATGGCGCTATCTCCGATATGTACATGGGTACCAATGATGTATTTAATCCACAATTAATACCAATTACGAAACGACCCAAGAATAGCATCTCGTATGAGTGGGCTACTTTCGTAAAACCCATAAGGCATGCCCCCACGATGCCCAGCATGTTGTTCAACAGTAAGCCCCCTTTTCTGGTAAAATCATTATCATTAGGTATTTTATATTTAATTCACGGAACGGGAAGTTAAACAATTTATTGATTGATTCTGTAGCAAAGTCTCATAACTCTTTTTACGAATTTCGAGGGAAAAGCCTCGAAATAATTTTCCGAAGTTTTTATTTTTGAAGATTATAGAATTATATATAATTATTATTACTGGCCAATTGATTTATAGTCTCAATCTTTTGAATTTCCATTGATTTAGATTTATATTCATCCCGTATTTGTATTTTCACAAATGTTTAATGATTTAATGATTAAAAGGAGCATTAATTTTATACTGAATTTCATAGAAACGAATTTCAACGAAAATAACGAAATCCCATAAATGTTCAGTGGAACGTTAAATATTTTTTATCATCAGTGTTGACTGGGTTTCCCCTCAATATTTGCCGCAGAATCAATTTGAATGTTTTCGTTTGATGAATTCGGTTTATAAAAAATGTTTTGATGGACTTACCTGCCAAATCTGTTGGCTATAACGCCCCCGCTAATACCACCGACCATACCCCCAATAGCAAATATACTAACTGCCAATGAGAACAACCTCTTAACAGACTTTTCCGACATGTCATCACCATATCTGTCTTTATACACATCTCTCATGAAACTCTCAATTTGCTGAAAGAACAATTCACCATTTAATATCAATTAAACACGCGGAAATGATAATTTCGTCAATTATCCTAGATTTGTCCCTCCGTGAGAGAGCGCAATAAATTATCAATTCAATTGTTGTTATTTATGTAATTGCCTCGATAAACATAAAAGAGCGCACAGGGAAAGTTCGATCGAATGGACAAAAAAATATTACAAAGTTTAAAAAAATCCAGGGGAATTGTCATAATTACCGGCGTTTTTCTATTGCTTTTTTTATGAGAAAATTTCAACGCGCTATAATGAAGTAATTCACGCTCGAGATAATTACATATTTAACTGGATATTTAATAACACGAGAAATGGACTCGTTACTTTCCACTACTCCACTTAAATTTCTCTTTATTTTTACCCCTGACGGTGCATTTATCACTCCAGTGTTGTAACCAAACTGCAGCATCCCCAGAACCGCAGCGAATATCGCATACGCCAGGAAAAACGTCAGCCCCTGAAAACAAGAAATATAAATAAAACTAAAAATAAAGGCAGCTCAAATAAAAATAAAAATTATCATCAAGTCATTCTCAAAAAGTTCCATAAAAAATGGTAAATAATAAAACCAAACAAGTAATAAATCAGATTTTTATTGAGCAATAAAAAAATCATAAATTAAATCAATTTCATTTACAAATTATGATGAAGTAAAATAAAAAATAGGGATGCATTTAGTTTTAAAAAATCAGTGAAAATTCATGAATGTGTGAGCTATAAAATTATGGTGATGACTTAAAAAAAAATAATAATCAGGTAAAAAGAAATAATAAATGGGAGTTTTATGGGACAATGAAGTAGAAAAATTCAATGATTTCGTTGGACCTGTTGCAGGAGCCTGAGTTTTCTGCGATGCGAGTGTTCCTCCAACCTGTCCACATATTCCCTCAGCTCTTCGATTTCCTCCTTCACCTGCTGCACAGTGTCGAGCTCGTGCTGCACGACACAAGCAACAAGAATAACACTCTTTTAAAAAGACGAGTATAAGTTCTCACTCGTGTGATCGGCCCATTAAAGGGCGATTCCAAATTTTATTGAAAATCAAAAGATCCACCCAAACCCATTATCAACAAATTCCGCCAATAAAACCAGTCGTGCAGAAAAATTTGGAAAGGATCATCATAAAATTATTGCTGTTTCGTTGAACCTTCCCTGAAGCTGAAAAAAGATTTCTCACTTCTCGGGGTTATCCCCTGAGTTCCCAAGCTTTCCATCACAA